TTGCTTTTTGAGACAGGGTTTCTCTGTGCAACCCTGGCTGTCCTGGAGCTAGCTTTGTAGACCACACAGGCCTCAAATTCAGAGATCCACCTGCCTCTGCCTCCCAAGTGTTGGGATGAAAGGCGTGCGCCACCACTGCCTGGCTCTATGAAAAGAATTTAAACCAGGTAACCTTTTTTTTTTTTTTTTTTTTTTTGGAGTCAGGGTCTCTATGTAGCTCAGGCTGTCATAGAATTCAGAGATCTGCTTGCCTCTGACTCCCAGTGATGGGATTAAAGCCGTGTGCCACTATACCGGGCTTCCATAGGTAACCTTAGTTCTAAGCACAGGTTCTCAGACCTCTGAATAGCATGCTTGAAATCCCAATTTTCCGCAGGCTGCAGCAGAATTTGTGAGGACAAGCTGGTCTTGACAAGAGTCAAGACCCTGACTATATATATAAATAAATAAATATAATCCTTTAGAATTTCACACCCTCGGAGGTTAATAGTCCTTGGACACAGACCTTCGGGAGTATTGTCTCTGAACAAGGACTTTCTGAGGAATCTATCGGGACGGGTATGGGTACCCTCGGAGGGATGGATGGTCCAGGCACTGAGACTCTTGGAGGACGCGTCGTCCTAGTACTGGGGCTCTTCAAAGGGCCAGCCGCCCAGGCACACACAAACTCTAGACCCACTAGCACACACCCTTCAGTGCACCGATATCCACCCTACCGCGATGGACGGACGGAACAGGCCCGAGCTCCACCCTCCCGTCCCTGCACCTGTCCCAGTTGGAGTCCCAGACGCTGGGCCCAGGACGCGAGACTCCTGTCCAGATCGGCGGCTCGGTCGCGCGCACGTCTGCATCCCCACCGCCGCGCGGCTTGCCCACTGCTACCGCGGAGAAGAGAACAGCGGCGGAGCCACCCGCCAGACCGCAGGCCGCCAGCTGAAGTGCCTGCCGGAAAGCCATGCCTCAAATCGCGCGGCCCGACGGCAGGACGCCAGGGACACACTTCCGCATGCGCCCGCTTCCGGCTGGTGGAAGTTCCGCCCCACACCCCACCCCGACAGAGCAGGAAACGCGGACTGGAGTGCCACCTGCCGGTAGTCTCCAGGTGGCAGGCATAGGTGCCCTTACTTTGGTGGGTGTGAGTCCCCAGGGGATCAAAATCTGGCATTGGGTTTAGGTGAACTGAAAAACCTCAGGCTTGGCTCTTGCTGTAGATCCAGTTTTTGTTCTCTTGTAATCCGTAAGTGTATGCATACTGTTCTTCAACTATCAACTTTCACCTCCAGAGTTCTTTCCATTTTCCTGAACTAAAACCTTCTGCATTAAACTATCAATTCTCCATTCCCCTCACCTAGCCCCTGGTACCTTCCGTCCTGCCTCCAAGTTTTACTTCCCTAGTTGTTAGTGATCAACTCACCGGGTCCTTCTGAGTAGGAAAGTGGTCCAACTGCTCTTCCAGTGCTGGCAGTTCTAGGACATGTTGAGCCCCAGACCAAGGGACTAGACTGGCAGGCCCAGAGGCTTACAGCCTTTACTACCTTGGGCTTTAACCAGCAGCAGGCCCAGCACTTGGCAGCTATTACAATTTTTAGCTTTGAGCAGTAGTGAGCAGCAGCAGGCATTTGATAATATTACTGCTCCTGAATGAACCTCAAACCTCAGACATTCTCAGGACCCTTGGCCTTTGACAATGGCTAATACTGCAGTGCATTTCCACTAACTGGAAAATGCGCCTTGGTCCACTTATAGAGGGAGAGAATAGGGGTGTGGCAAGGGTCTTAGCACCAACCCTGCCTGTCCTTCATGAATGTTTATGTAAATCTGAGGCTTTCTCTGCAGCCACCAAGGAAGTGCTACCCCTCTGGCCTGGATGAAATTATGGCAAGGTCATGCTAGTCTTGTTCACAGTACTACTTTCCAGTGTCAGTGGGTGCTGTCTGGAATGGTCATGATGGAGCAAGTCTTCAGCTAAGGTTGTGGTGGTCCACTGCAGCTGAGAGGTGTCTGCACAGTGGGTTCCAGTGTCTAAACAGCTCATGAGAGCAATGTGGCTAGTTACCCATAAAAGGCGGCTTTCCTGGCACAACTTCAGCCAGGCACCAGAGCAGGACCTGTTAAATGCTTTAATACTTCATAGAAAGTATCAGTAGGGTGTGTACAATAAAGGCTTAACAAAGTCTCTACACTGAACTAACTAGCATTTACAGTATAGTTCTTATTTACCAGTGCTTGCTTACTGCCGCAGTGTCCCCTGGGGAGGTAGGTCTCTCTGATCTGTGTTCTAGGAATCTTAAATTAATTGGACTTTAACAGTCTGTCCTTTTGTGACTGGATGTCCTTTTCTGTTTTTTGTTTGTTTGTCTGTTGTTGTTTTCTTCTGAGATAGGGCCCCACCATACTACATAGCCTTGGCTGGCTTCGAGCTTACTATATAGACCAAACTGGCTTCAAACTGACAGAGATCCACCTGCCCCGAGTGTTTAAAAAATATTAAAGGATTAAAGGCCTGTGCCACCAAACCTAGCTTATGTAGCTATTTTGAGCATTACATTTTTAAAGAAATAAATCTGATTCTTCATCTCAAGAAACAGTTCTGTTAACTGCACTCCTTCAATTTACACATCACTGCAAAAAAAAAAAAGGGAGGCGGCAATGGCATAATAAAGAGGGAGGTGCATTTGAATTGTGGTACTAAGTAACAGTGCAGTTTCAAAGACCATTCTATGGACCTAAATATACTGTCCAAATACAAATATTGGTGGACTGGATAACAGCTCAATTGGTTGGTGCTTGTTCAGCTTATGCAAAGCCCTGGGATCCACCCTCAGTATTCATAAACTAGGTGCAGTAGGGCACACCTGTAATCCCAACAATTTAGAGGTGGAAGTAGATTTATAAATTCAAGGTCATCTTTGGAGTTCAAGCCCAGCTTGAACCCTGTCTCAAAAGAAAAGGGGGGTGCTCTTCCAGAGGACTCAAGTTTAATTCCCAGCACACACAACTGTCTGTGACTCCAGGTCCAGGTAATCAAACACCCTATTCTAGCCGCTAAGGGTTCTGAGTTTCCTAGGCTGGCCCTGAACTCAAGAGCTCCAGTTATCCTCCTACCCAGTGTCCCAAGTAGTTGGACAAGCATCACCACTGCAGTTGTTGATCTCTAGAATTGCACATGGGGCCCAGATCCCTAGTTCTCCATCACAGCCAAGCAGGGTGGGAAGTGTCAAGCTAGAGCTGTGCTGTGAATTGTATTACTGGTATCAGTCATGGGAGCATCAGTTACTTTTGTCAATGTCCTAATCTGAGGGCAAGTGTAGGAACAATGTCTACACACCCATGTTCAAAGCAGCATCAGAAGCCGGATAGTGGTGGTGCACACCTTTAATCCCAGCACTCGGGAGGCAGAGCCAGGAGGATCCCTGTGAGTTCGAGGCCAGTCAGACGTCTACAGAGCAAGATCCAGAACAGACACCAAAACAACACAGAGAAACCCTGTCTTGAAAACAAAAAACAACAAAAAGCAGCATCAGAGTCACCAACTCTTTGTTGTTGTTGTTGTTTTGGTTTGTTTTTTATTTTTGAGACAGGTTTTCTCTGTGTTGCAGCTCTGGCTGTCCTAGAACTCACCTTGTAGACCAGGCTGGTCTCAAACTCACAAAGATCCGCCTGCCTCTGCCTCCCAAGTGCTGGGATTAAAAATGATGGAGAGGCCCTTTGACAGAGGAATAAACAGAATGTGGTGTATATATGTACACTTTGGAACGTTTAGCCTCAAAAAGGCAGGGAATTCTGACATGTTGAGTTATGACATGGATGAATCTTGAATGTAACAAAATACCACAGACTATATCACATATACAACAGAAATTTACATCTGCTTTGGAGGCTGAAAGTCCAAGATCTTTTGGACTTTTTCCAAGCACTGTTTCTGAAATGGTGTTGATATGTGCCTAGAAAAGGAAGAGGAAGGCTGTCTTCACTTAGCCAGAGAGCAAGAGGAAAATTCTGTGAAGCTTCTTTTAAAAGAGCATTAATCTGTTCTTTGTTAGATTTAAGCACTTCCATAAAGAACCTCTCAATACTATAACAATGATGAAGTATCAACAAAAATTTTGTAGAGGACATTCAAACCATGGCAAAATGCAATTAGTTACTTCCCTCATTGCTGTGACCGAATACCCAACAAGGAACTTAAGAGAGGAAGGATTTATTTCAGCATGGCATGGCAGCAGAAGCATGAGACATCTGGGTACACTGAGCCAAAGGAGATGAATACTGGTGCTCAGTTCATTTTCTCCCTTCCATTCAGTCTGGGACCCCAGTCCATGGGAATGGCACTGCTCACATTTGAGGATGAACTTCCCTCCTCAGCTAACTGATTTGTTTGTTTGTTTGTTTGTTTGTTTGTATATGGGTATTATGCCTGCATATATGTCCAGAAGAGGGCCAACCGATTTATTTGTTTGTTTATTTATATGTGTGTGGGTGTTTTGCCTGCATATATATCCAGAAGAGGGCATCAGATTCCCTGGAACTGGCATTACGTGCTCTCCAGCCCCAGTGGTTAAAACCCTTTTTGGAGACGTCCTCATATACACACCAGGTATATTTCCATGGTGATTCTATGTCCCATTAAGCTGATGATCGAAATTAACCGACACTAGTTATTATGATAGATCAATAAGCCAGTCTTAAGAATAGTGTCAACAGATCCAATACAGTATGTAGACTCACAATCAAGACATTACAGGGATGGTGGTTACTGGACTAGAAGAAATGAGGAGCTGGTGTTTAATAGGAACAGTTCTACTTTAAGATGAAAAATACCTAGAAATGAATGCTGGTGATGTTTGCATAGCACCATGATTGTACTTAATGCTGCAGAACCATACACTTAAATGTTAAGCATTGTACGAACTTTGGCACAACATAAAAGAACTTAAAGAGATCTCGCTATGCATTTCTCTCCAAGCAACAGTAACTGTTCAGAGAAATCACAACCATCATAGAAGCAGCTACATCACTGTTTATTGACCTTTACTTTATTTACAGTGACAACTAAGATTATCTACTGTCTGAGCCTGGTGTTGTCTCTCTAAACACAAGATGCTGACACTAACACATTTCCTCCCTCTGTAATTTTAAGGCATCTTGAATCACATAATTTAGTCAGGTGATGTTCTGAATGATGGATTCGGATCTCTCCTGCTGGTGGGTGGATTCCCCCAGATCTCATCCACGGTGTATCTGACATCACTTCCCCAGAGAGGCCAGGTAGGCATACCAGAACAGAGCTGCCATGTTGGCAAAGAGCACCCGGAACTGCCAAAAGAACAGTCATCAGGCCACGTGAGTGGGAATCCTGACCACGGCCTCACACATCAGTCGCCCAAGATGAATCATCCCTCCAATTGTTTGCTGCTTGGTCTATCTTACTTCCCCAATATTGAATGTCTGAGCCTTTAGTTTGTAACAAGGTTTGGTAGGACCCAGCAGAGGTAGGAGTACAAATAAATCATCCTCTCCAAACAATGTTCTTGCTATGACTTGGCTTCAGCCCAGCACACCACTGCCCCAATACCTAATCGCCTGGATTTACCCCACCTGAAAGCACCTTCAGTCAGTGCTGTCTCTTCCAGGCAGACAGTTCTGTGACAGTAACAATCTAAGTCTTTGGCACTGAGGCACAAAGTAGTGATTAACAATACTTGCTACATAACTTCCCTTCCCCTTAAGTATTCCTTTGCAACTATCTACAATTAGAACCTTAACCCTAACCTGATAGCCCTGCTTGGAAGCAGTTTTCTGGCCTATTCATTCCTCAACCCACCAATCCCTCTATAACTCTCCAGGATGCCTTAGGGTCTGTGGCCCTCATGTACTACACTAGGAAGGTCTGTCTTCCCTATCTCCTTGGGCTCTGAGCATAGGTGTTAGTACTAGGAGCAAAACTGTCCCAGGCCCATAACTAAGAGGGTTTGGTCTCTACCCAGAAATTCGTACTTACTTCCTAACACCTAATCACCTTTTTCTGCTCAGACCCAGAGAAGCCAAGCAGTCTTGCCCATTCATGTTAGCTCTCTGTAGTCACAAAGGGCTTCTACCTCTGCACTCATCCAGGAGAACCCCATTATCTCCACTGTCTAAGATGGCTACAGAAGACCCTCTTTGTGGACCTGAATTCCACTCATCCCAGGGACAGTCATATCTGTATACAACATAGTCTTGTAAACATGACACTATTTCTCTGACCTCAAGACCTCTCTATCACCCTGGCTTCCTGACCATTTCTTCCCATCTTCAAACTTCTCAGGAACATTTTCTAGACTTGTGATTTGTTCTCCTTCCCTTCCCAGGCTGGCCTGGATTTCCTGGTCCTCCTGCCTCTGCCACCAGAGTGAAGGATGGCAGGCACTAGCATGCCTGGCTTGAGATGTGGGTTGTGTGTTTCCTACTCACTCTTCAAAGCAATCTAGCTTTAGCCCCTAATCTGTCGCAGTATGGTTCTTAGGAAGATCACTGATAAGGTTACTTCAAACCAGACACCTATTGGGGTTTTTTTGTTTCTTGGTTTTGTTTTATTTTTGGCTTTAATTTCCTATTATTCTTCTAGGGTTGACTAGCCCTTTGTTATATCCTAAATGTCTGCTGGTTTTCTCCTACTTTATGGTCTGTGTGATGTATGTATGCATATACAAATGTGGGTGGTCTGTGTATGTGCATGCTAAGTAATACACATGTAAATATTTATGAAGTAAGCATGGGTGGGTGCTGTATTTACATATATGATATAAAGTGAGGCTTAGGTGTGTATGGACTAGTGTGTATAGTGTGCTCTCTCATTTATTCCTTCTCCCTCCCCTCCCTGTGTATGTGTGCATAATGTGGTGGTGGTCTGTGTGTAGTGTGGTCTACACAGTATGTATGTTTGTAGTATATACAGTGTATGTGTGTGCACACTGGCCAACCTCCCTCTTCTACCCAATGGGAGTCCTTTGTGGATTCTACTCTGCTCCTCCTTCTTCAATGGGCCCTATTGTGAGCTCCCTGTAGGAAAGATACTTAATGGAGCACAGAAGAGGGTTAAGTTCCTGGCACAGACTGAGGCTGCTGCCCAAGATAAACCTATTTGGAAGGATGGTGCTGTTGGCAACTTGGGTGTCATAAGGACCCTACCTTTTCCTTCTCCAGTGTGCACAGACCTAGCTCCTAGGTTCGGAACTTGGCAGAGGTACCTAGTACCAATTCTTGGAAGAACCCTGATGGTTTCTTCCACAGGACAGAACCAGACCTAGAGCCAGAGGAAGAACGCCCTTGGGGAAGGAAAGGTCTACATCTCTGACAGCCCTTCTCCCCTAGGAGAAGCCTGCCACTCATTGTGTAGACTTACAGGGACTGTGAGCCCTTCCAGTTGCAGGGAGGTCTTAGGAAAACACAGAGGATGAGCCTAGCACCAGGACAGCTGGTCCACAGTAACTTAAAGCAGTGCACAATGATAACATCTGCAGAACACTAAACCAGCTGGGCAATGGTGATAGCACACGCCTTTAATCCCAACACTTGAGAGACAGAGGCAGGTGAATCTCTGTGAATTCGAGGCCAGCCTGGTCTACAAAGTGAGTTCCAGGACAGTGAAGCCTACACAGAGAAACCCTGTCTTAAAAAACAAAAAGAAACAAGCAAACAAAAAAAAATAACAAAACAAAAAACCTAAAACACATGACCACTCTTCTCCTTTGCTCTCCACTGCTCAGTGGTCAGGTTCACCCATCCTTCAGCAGGCAGTTTCCACAGAAGCACCTGTGTGACTATAAGCACTGAAATTCTCCCAGTTACCCACAAGGGGCTTCTCTTTGACCAGTCATCCCCTTGAAGACTTGTTTATGCCAAGGTCTTCCCTACTTACCTGCTTCACTGCATGTTGCCTGCTGCCCAGTATCTGCCTGTTCAGCTGCTCCTCCTGAGCCCAAGCAACCCAGACTGTTTCAGTTACTAGAAAACACTAGAATTTGCTCAACGAGGATGAAACAGCTGCACAGGAGTCCCCGTGCAGTTTTGCAGCTATGAATCCAGAGCTCATGGACAATGACCAGGGGTGGACCAGAACTCCAGAAACGGGTGAAAACGTGGCCTGAGGGTACTACCACTTGTTAGAAAAAATGACAAAGACCTTTAGTGAAGACAAGGCAAGTCTCACCTGCAGGGGCACATAGTTGATGTTAATGAACTGCAAGGGCGTCCACATCCTCCAGTTCATTTGCAGTGCAGGCCAGAAGCCACTCCTCATCTTGGCAGCAAAGGCACTGACATCCTTCCCCTGCCAGGAAGGGAAGGGGAGCTGTGAGCAGTCCCTCCATCAATAGCAACTGTAATGTGGTGCCTTGACCTTGACAATGATTTGTAAAACTTGTTTATGTTTTAAAGCACACCTGCATTTACTACCCTGCAGCTAAGAGAAGTCAACTATCCAGGTGGAAAATCTTCAGTGACAGCACCTCAGTGGCAAGTTGCCTCTCACACCGGGTTGTGTCTGTCCCCATTAATTCCTTACAGCAATCTGATGATGACTTGTGCTGCGGCCGGACTAAGGGCTCAGATCAATACTTCCCACATTAACTGCCAAAGATGATTAATTTCCAGTCAAAATTCATCAATTTTTAAAAAATGACCCCCACTAAATGTTATATGGAAGAATGAATGTATTAAGAGTAACCACACTGGCTGGACAGTGGTGGAACACGCCTTTAATCCTAGCACTCAGGAGGCAGAGGCAGGCAGATCTCTGAGTTCTAAGTTCCAAGGCCAGTCTGGTCTACAGAGCAAGTTCTAGGACAGCCAAGAAAAAGAGTAACCACATTAAAAACAATAGAAGCACCTACCTTCCCACAGTTATTTTTTAAAAATACTGTAAAATTATGGTAATTAAGACAATCTGTAAGCAATAGTCAAAAAATAAACAAAATGAAAATAATACAATAACCAAAACAACATGCAATGAAAGTGAAAATCCAGTAAAAGAACCTAGTCTAGGCTGTACGTATAGAAGTAAGAACATGACAAAATTATCTTGAAATACTGGGGATTTCAGGAAGTGGGAGACAATATACAGTGTAAGTGGAAAAACAGAAACAGAAGTCTACTCCCTGTAAAAACAAAAAACAAAAAACAAAACTCAAAAGACAGAAGAGGAAAAGTATAGATAATTTTTCTTGGAGTCTTATCAAGATTTATCAAACAGGGGCTAGAGTGCTGAGAGCCAGGCCAGCTGGCTTTCCCTGAGGCCCTGAAGTATTGAGAAGGAAAACATGGAATAAGCTCAGGAGACCCAGTGACGGACTGGTGGGGGAGGGGGAGGGCCTTAGGGAGCTGTGGTTCTGGATCCTGAGAAACTAACTCTTTTCACCTAAAGGGGCTATGGTTGTCAGTCTCAAGGCTGTTGTGTGCTTTGTCTGTGACACTCTGTCCCATTTCCCCCTGAAACCTCTATATAAGCTACTGTACCTCTTAATACACTCGGTTGCATGAGCCACCAGCTTATGAAGGACCTCCTGGTCCCAATTTTCCTATCTTCTTTATTTTCTCATCCCCCATCCCCCCACCCCCGACTTAGGATCTGTTACATAAGAACAACCTGCTGGTCCAGGTCACTGAAGAAATGGCCCAATGGTTCTCTTCCAGAGAACCCAGGGTTGATTTTCAGCACCCACATAGAGGCTCACAACTGTCTGTAACTCCTGTTCCAAGGAATCCAGTGTCCTCTTCTGGCTTTCATGGGCACCAAGCAAGCATATGCAGCACAGACATACATCCATACATATAAAATACCAACAACAAGAACTAAAAAAAAAAAAGTACCACACAATCACTAGAAAGTATTAAGAATATGTGTATCATCTTCCTATCAGAAAATCCAAAGGGAAAAGAGTACCAGAGTTGAATACAAAGTTTTAAAACTTCTGTGTAGAAATACACATACACACACACACACACACACTTTATTTATACAAGTTTACATTTTACCTTTATATAGACATCTTAACTAATATGAAAGTTTGAAACACCTAAAAAAATGGGAAACTGATTTGCTACTTATATTTGTGAAAAAGGACTGTTACTCTTCATTTATCCCAATACACAAATCTGTGTAAGAAAAATGGCAATCTTCCTTTCTCAGCCTCCTGAGTATGGCAATTACAGGCATAAGCCACCAGGCTTGGTATAGAATCATATTAGTATATAAAACATATAAGTAATAAACAAAAACAACTCTACTAAAAGTTATCAAAATATTTGGAAACCAATTCTATGATAGCGTAGTTAGTATACATCCCTCTTTGACAAGAGATGTGGTGAGAAGATCTAAGGGCAGCTCCACGACATATGTAACAACTGCCACATGGATTATGAGGCTTATGACTTCTAGGGACAAACAGGCACTATTAACATTCCCGTGGTCTGTTTCCTAGGTTCACAAGGGAAAATAAAAAACATGAAAACAGAAGTTGAAGAATAGCGAGATGGCTCGGCAGGCAATGGTGCTTGCTGTTACGCCTGATGACCTGAGTTCAATCCCTGAGACCCACGTAGTGGAAGGAAAGACTCCTCTGATCTCTACACACACATCCTTTGGTATGTACATGCCCATACACATACACACAGAGAAATCAAGGAAACAGTATTTGCTGGACACGACAGCGCTATTGTACACATCAACTCAAAGCAGCTTTGACAACATGCATAAGACCCAAACTCTCTCAAGCCAAGAAATCCCAGTATGGATATGGGAGAGGTTCATCAAGTCCTACCCCTAGCTGAGGAGCTACTGGAAATTAATGGCTGCTAGGAAGGGAAAGCCAGTTTTTGTTTTGTTTTTTTCTTCAGGGATGTGGCCCTTGAGAGGCCTATACCCATGCACTTACAGGAAACACTAAGTGAACACACATGAAGTTGGTTAGGAAAAGTAGTATGGAGAGAGGGGTCATTTTGATCAAAACACATTGAGGCCCACCCTAGGAAGCAAGGCTACCTGTTAACTGGAGATACAGCAAGTGCCAGAACAAACACCCACCTCCAACAAGTTCATGATGAGGAAGAACAGCAGCAGAAAGGTTGGTGCAAAGAGCAGGCGATCCAGCAGGAGCCTCTTGACAATGGCCAAAGGAACCTCAGGAGGGATCCAGTACTCCATTAAGAGGTAGAAATAGTGACTCAGTGGACCTGTGACAAAGAACCTGGAGCACCACAGGGGTTTGAGCTGGACTGCAGTTCCTTTTACATTTCCTTCTTTGGTCCAGCCTCACACCAAGATTCACCTCAGAGCCTAAGCTCTCTTTTCTTCCCCCAGAGTATTTACTGACCACACGAATTTGTCTAGACCTTTTTCAGTCAGTTTCAGGCAGCCTTTTTGCCTGAAAAAACTGAAGTTACTTTGCCAGTTCCTGTAGTTGATCAGTTGGCAGAGCCATAATGATGGTCCTGGCTAAGATATATGTCCATCTGACTCCTCTGTGTTCCAGGCCATTATGCTATCTGTTCATATCTATGCCTTCATACCTTACAGACTCTGAGAAGTAAATAGACATAACCCAGCTTGGCCAAGTGTGAGCCAAGCCCAGAAGTGAGTTTCACAAAGCACAGTAATACAGGGAGGGGTAGGAACCAGGGTCTTTCAATTCCAACAACCAAAGTCTGTAAAGGTTTTCAATTGGACTTTCCTGCACCACTGTGAGCTAGAGTAGGGCAAACAACTGAAGTCTTCGAGAGACTGAGACCATATGAAAGGGTTAAGGTGCCTTAGCTGATCTGGTTACTTGACAAAGTACAGGAGATATGGTTTTGTAAACATTACAGTAAATGACTCAAATTATTCTTGGAAGCTTTTGTGGGGTTAGGACTGAATCTCAGTTGGTAGAGTACTTCCCAAGCATGCCAAGAAACCCTGGGTTTGATTCCCAGCACTGCAAAAAACAAACAAGAACCAGGTGTGGTAGTGCACACCTATAATCCCAGCACTCAGGAGGTAGAGGCAAGTAGATCAGAAGTTCAAGGAATATATGATACAGCCTCAGTCTCTTTCTTTTGTGTACACACACACACAGTCTTTCTGATTATTTATTTTATTTATGTATTTAGTTCTGCTTACAACAGGGTCTCACTGTGTAGCTCTAGCTGACCTGAAACTCACTATGCAGACAAGGTGGGCCTTTCAAGTACTGGGATCACAGACGTACTATCATGCCTACCTAAATGATGACGATAAGTGATATCTAAGTGGCAACATACATGAAGCCATGAGTTTAATCCTAATGTTACACACACACACACACACACACACACACACACACACACACACACACACAAAAGGTTTTGTTCTGTTTTTAATTGATCCAATTGAAAAGACTTTCAAATCATCTAGCCATCTTATTAGTGTTTGCCAAAGAGCCCAGGAAGGATATTGTTTTAAAGGCAGATCTCCCTATACAGCAAGAGCAGGTCTTGAACTTGTGACAATCCCACTGCCTCTGCTTCCACAGGGCTAAGCTACAAGCCTGTGTCATCACATCCAGCCTCTGGTGCTTCTTTTTTGTTTTGTTTTGTTTTATTTGAGACAGGGTCTCAGTATATAGTTCTGGCTATCCTAGAACTCACTATGTAGACCAGGATAGCCTCAAACTCCCAAGTGCTGGAATTAAAGGAATGTGCCACTATGTCTAGTTCTCTGAAGCTTCTTTTCTTCTTCTTCTTCTTCTTCTTCTTCTTCTTCTTCTTCTTCTTCTTCTTCTCCTCCTCCTCCTCCTCCTCCTCCTTCTTCGTTTTTTGAGACAGGGTTTCGCTGTGGAGTTTTGGTGCCTGTCCTGGATCTCACTCTGTAGACCAGGCTGGTCTCAAACTCACAGAGATCTGGCTTTGCCTCCTGAAGCTGGGATTAAAGGCGTGTGCCCCCACCACCCTGCCTGAAGCTTCTTAAAGAATTAGTTGTTTTTTTTCTTAAGATGGGAATGGGAGGTGGGCTGGGGGGAAGGGGGGCGGCGCAGGAGGGGGGAGAACAAGGGAATCCATGGCTAATATGTAAAATTAAATAAATTATAAAATTTTAAAAAAGTTTTTTTTAAGATTTATTTATTTATTTACTATGTATACAGTATTCTGCCTACATGTATGCCTGTATGCCAGAAGGCACAGGATCTCATTATAGATGGTTGTGAGCCACCATGTGGTTGCTGGGAATTGAACTTGGGACCTCTGGAAGAGCATCCAGTGCTCTTAACCTCTGAGCCATCTCTCTAGCTCCAAGAATTAGTTTTTCTTTTTTCTTTTTAATTTTATTTTCGTGTGTGTGTGTGTGTGTGTGTGTGTGTGTGTGTGTGTATGCGTGTGTGCGTGCGCGCACTTGAATGTTTTGTTTACAGGTATGTCTGTGCACCATATAACGTGTCTAGTACTTTATGAGGTCAGAAGAGGTCATCAGATCCCTTGGAACTGGAGTTAAAGATGTCTGTGAACTGCTACATGGATGCTGGGAATCAAACCTGGTTTTTCTACAAGAGCAATCATTACTCTTAATAGCTGAGCCATTAACAGCTGAGCCATCTCTCCAGCCCCAGAATTAGATTTCCAAACCAAAGTATTCCAAAGCCTTGATGCTGCCAGCCAGCTCTGCTGTGTTCGGTCTGCAGAGGTGAGTCAGCTCTCAGTGACACTTACCCATAAACTAAATATCGGAGAGGCCCGCTGACATCTAGACTTGGAAGGTCTTTTTTCTGTTTCTTCTCAATCATCTGGGCCAGAAGGTTCCCAATGGCTGACAAAATGCCACTGTGGAGGAAGAGGCAATCAGAAATGAGTAACAGACACAAAGGCTTGCCTTTCCTGCTTAGCAATAGCAAAGCTGCTATGGATCTTGATATGGATGGTGGGATGAGTCCTTATTAAAGCAGCTTGCAGGTAAAGCCCTTGAAGGTAGAAATAGTACAGCCTAAAACCAAAACACAAGCATGCATAGTGAGAGTTCCACCTGCTGGACTGCATGCTTTCAACATCCCACTGCTGCTTCATTGAAGGCTTGGGTGTAAAAGGCAATAGGAAGGATGCTTATGAGGACGCTTCTGTAGTTGACTGTGGGCTGTACACATCTGTATGAGCTCACATCTGTATGTGATATTATATTGTAGTTTTTAAAAATGTTTGAAATGGCTGGGTGGTAGTGGCACACGCCTTTAATCCCAGCACCCGGGAGGCAGAGCCAGGCGGATCTCTGTGAGTTC